AAGAGAGAGAGAGAAGAGAAGGAGAGAGAGAGAGAGAGAGAGAGAGAGAGAGAGAGAGTAAGAGAGAGAGAGAGAGAGAGAGAGAGAGAGGAGAGAGATAGAGGAAGGAGAGAGAAAGAGAGAGAGAGAGAGAGAGAGAGAGAGAGAGAGAGGAGAGAGAGACAGACAGAGAGAGGGGGGAGATTTGAGAGTAGAGAGAGAGAAAGAGAGAGAAGAAGAGAGCAGATGAGAAGAGAAGAGAGAGAGAGTAGAGAGGGGGAGAGGAGATGAAGAATGAGAGAGAGGGAGAGAGAGAAGAGAGAGAGAGAGAGAGAGAGAGAAGAGAGAGAAGAGAGAAAGAGAGAGAGAGAGTTAGGAGAGACGAGATTAGAGAGGAAAGAAGAGAGAGGAGGAGGAGAGAGAAGAGTAGAGAAGAGAGAGAGAGAGGGGGGGGGATAAGTGAGAGGAGAGAGATTGAGGAGAGAGAGAGAGTTAAGAGAGAGAGTAGAAGGAGTAGAGAAGAGATGAGAGAGAGAGAGAGAGAAGATGAGAGTAATGTAGAAGAGAGAGAAAGAGAGAGAAGAGAGAGAAGAGAGAGAGAAGAAGAAGAGAGAAGAGAGAGGAGGGATTGAAAGAGAGAGAATAAAAGAGAGAGAGAATTAGGAGAGAGATAGGAGAAGGGGAGGATATCAGTAGAGAGAGAGATGAGAGATGAAGAGATAGAGAGAAGAGAGAGATTGTGTAGAGATTGGAAGAGATAAGAGAGAGAGAGAGAGAGAGAGAGAAGAGATGAAGAGAGAGATGAAGGAGAGAATAGAGTAAGAGAGAGAGAGAGAGAGATGAGAGGAGAGAGAAGTAGAGAGAGAGTAAGAGAGATGAGAGAGAGAGAGGGAGAGAGAGATGGAAGAGAGAGAGAGAGAGAGAGAAGATGAGTGAAGAGAGAGAGAGAGGAGAGACAGACTAAGAGAGAGGGGGCAAAGTAGAAGATGAGAGAGAGTTGAAGAGATGAGAAAGAGAGAGAGAGAGAGAAGAGTAGAGAGAAGAGATGAGAGAGAGAGAGTAGAGAGAGGAGAGAGAGAGAGAGAGTAGAGAGAGAGAGAGAGAGAGAGAGAGAGAGTAGAGAGGTATGAGATGAGAGTAGAAGAGAAAGAGAGGGTTAGAGAGAGGAAGAGAGAAGAGATAGAGAGAGAAGATAGAGAGTAGAGAGAGAAAGAGTAGAGAAGAGGAAGAAGTAGAGAGAGAGAGATGAGAGGGGGGGTTGGGGATACAGTAGTAGAGAGAGAGAGAGAGGAGGAGAGTATGAATGAAGAGAGAGAAGTAAGAGAGGAGAGAGAAGAAGAGAGAGTAGATGAGAGATAGATGAAGAGAGAGAGAGGAGAGAGATGAAAGAGAGAGAGAGAGAGAGAAGGAGAAGAGAAGAGAGAGAGAGAGAGAAGAGAGAGAGAGAGAGAGAGAGTAGAAAGTAGATAAAGAGAGAGAGAGAGAGAGGTAATATAAGAGAGATAAGAGAGATAGAGAAGAGGGGAGGAGAGGAGAGAGATAGAGTGATGAGTAGAGAAAGAATAGAAGAAAGAAAGAATAGAAAGAAAGAAAGAAGAAAGATAAAGAAAGAAAGAGAAACGAAATGAAAGAAAGAAAGAAAGAAAGAAAAGAAAGAAAAGAATGATCAGAAGAAAGAAAGAAAGAAAAGAGAAAGTAAAGAAAAGAGAGATAAGAGAGAGAGAGAAGGAGAGGGAAAAGTGAGAGAGAGAAGAGAGAAACGGGGGGGAGGAGTAGAGAGGAGAGAGAGAGAGAGAGAGAAGAGAGAAGAGAGAGAATGAAGAGAGAGAGAGTAGAGGAGAGAAGAAGAGAGAGTAAAGGGGAGAAAGGAGGTATAATAGAGAGTGAGAGAGAGAAAGAAGAGAGAGAGAGAGATGTAGATATAGAGGAGAGAGAAGAGAGGAGAGAGAGAAGGAAAAATGTAAAAAAATAAATAAAAAGAGAGAGAGAGAGAGAGAGAGGTAGAGAGA